TTCCTTAAACCTCCCTTCTACTGGATGGATAATGGATGGGTGGGTGGGTGGATGGATGGATGGATGGATGGATGGATGGATGGATGGATGGATAGATGGATGGATGGGTAGGAAAGCTATAAAGAAAGAAGTGATATCAGGAGAAAGCCTGGGTTCCGTCAAGGTGAAGACAAGGAGGTGGAACTCAAGCTCCAGCTAACCCGGGGACGGAGAGAACATGCTCATGTGACCAGAGCTCCAGGGAAGTGTGGTGGGACTGAAGAAGTAAGGGTCAGGTCCACGGAATGGACGTGGCCCGGGAAAGGGAACCCTGGGCTGACCAGGGTTAGAGATAGAGTTTAAGCCTCAACGAGAAAGTCAGGTTAGAGGGAGGGATGGAGAAGCTGGTTGTGGAGGGGCGGGAAGGGGGCACATCCCCTGAGCACCTGCTACATGCCCTCATGCAGATGTCTTGTTTAACCCTTGCAGCATGCCTGTTGGTTCCGCCTCAATCACTTTTCTTGTTCACTGCAAACAGCCTGAGAAAATCAGGCCGTGGATGGGACCTGCATCAGAAATTCAGCCTCCCGCCTCCTCCGCCCCTTCTCAGAGCCCTCTGCACTCACACAGCCCTTTGCTTCCTTTCCAGTTTCCTTCGTCTCACCATTGAGCTGTTTACAATCTGAACAATTCGTCAGCAGCATGAGTTCTGGTGTTTGGCTGTCACAGAAACAAAGCCTTGTGAAGTGCCCTAACGCGACGTATTTAGATACAAACATTTTCTACACATTCAGAGCTTTCCTTTCTCGTAAAATTTGAAAACCAACCCAGTAGAAATGCTTAAGCCTTGCTCTGTTTTCCAGGCGTGCAGGAATTCAGCCGTACTTTTAACTGAAATGCAGGTCGCATTTAAACAGTGGAATGCTCTTTAATATCCCGCGGTCATTTCTGAGGGAGGAGAAGGGTGGCTGGTGGTGGTTTCTGATTTTGAAGGCTGCGATTTTGAAGCCCTGTTTCACAGAAGAGTAAATTGAGGCTCAGAAAGGTTAAATAACTCGTCTGGGGTCGTCGTACGACTGCTGTTCCATGTCCCCCAGGCAAGCTCACTGCTTTAGCACTTTCTTTTTCCTCTCTGTCCCCAGACTGAGCCCAACGAGGATAGCCCATCATTTTCTCTCCATACTTCTGTAGCCCAGGGCCTGGCACACACATATATGCCCAGACACTTCTGTGGGTTTGAACGGTTGATGCCATTCAAGTTCCCACAGGCGGCAAGGAGGGTTTATTTAAATGTGTGTGTGTAATATAATTATTTTCCATTTTGTAATATTTATATTTTTACATATAAATTTATAATATATATCTTATAGAGTAATAATATATAAATTACACATTTTGTATATTAATATAAATTTATATAAAATATATAGGTATATGTAAAAGTTTATATAAATTTAAAATATACTATCTATCATATTATATATCATATAATGATATCTAAATTAGATTTTAATATATTTAAATAAAGACATATTTTATATTATATACTTAAAATACATATTCTATATTTATAATAATTATATATTTCTATATTACATATTAAGTACATGACATATGAAATAATAATATATAGACGTGAATACATATCTGATTGTGGCTTGCGGAAGTGTCCCCCCGCCTCCACTGTTCCATGGTTCTAAACTAGTTCTCAGGCTCCCCCAGCCTCTGCCTCTTTCCTTCAAGCCTCTCGAGCCCCTGTGAGCCCTGGAAGCACAGTAATACCCTCTCCTCCCCTGGGATGGGTGAAGTCAGCAGGTAACCCAGGCCACAGAGGCTGGGGGGCGCCATTGTTGTCCTCAGACCTGGGGAGAGGAGAGGACATGGACAGGGGG